AGGACATCATCATCATCTCTTTGACAGGACAAGGGCCTGTGGCTCAAAGTAATCCATTTTGGTAACATCCTTACTTTAAAATCATTTTCCTCCTCTGCTTTGTTTCCCTGAAGCCTGCAAAGTATCAGGAAACTTCTTAAAATATTGGAAATTGTGGTCTGAGGAGGACAAGGTTGCCACAGCAACTGTCCGGTATTTCTGAAATTTATTCCTTCATCTTTCAAAACCATCATGAATGCCACAAACTGCTGAGGCATTTGCTGCAAACAAAGCAAGGCAATAGAAAGAGAGAACAGAAAAGAACACCGAGGAGTCAGTTGTTGTAAAGGTGAGATGTGTCAGGCTCAGGGAAAAAGTGGCAGGCATTTACACTTCATGTTAAATCCCCTCAGTGTCTGGAATGCCGTGCAAGCGTATGGAGTGTTTCAACACTTGACAGTATCTGACATTACAGTGGATAATGTCACTTGGCTTGTGAGGCAACTCCATGATCCACTCAGGATGGTGACATTTATTCCATCCGTAAAGGAAATATTTTCAGAAATAGGAGGCCAAAGTTAGCCGCCTCCCTTTTGGTATGATAAATAACTGCTTTCTGGGACACAAGATGCCTGGCAAAGAGTATAACTTATCAGCTCAGAAGTGATCAGTTTTTTCGTGGTTTTGGGACTGGTCTCATTATGGACTGGTGAACATAGGGTTGTATTGGGGGTCAGGAGGTTTAGCATATCCATTCCCCTTTTAGCTTTGTTTTTCTTATCTGATAAACCAAATTAATGTTGTTATATCATCAGTGCATATAGTCTTTGGGTCATCTGTTTAGAAAGGCAGACAATCAGTACCATATGGTTCCATTTTACTGTGGTTAATACAAGGGAAAATACACCTGTGAGCTATCTGAGGACTTTTTTTTTAAAGCAGCAGAACTTAAAGAGTTGCAGGCTATTAGATGTGTTGGTTCTGTATGCGGTTATCTTCTCTTCTGAGACAGCTGGTGGCTGTGTGTGAAAAGCTGTGTGAAAGAGCCAGATGTGATTACCTGTCTAACTTTGCTTGTGAAGGGGCCCAGGTGAGCAGTTCATGTTTCCAGCGGTGTGGTATGCACATTTGCACTACTTGAAATGGAGTGCTCTGTGGCCTGAAGCCATACTGGCACTTCAAACACATACTCTAGCACTTTTCAAAATGTTACAGCATTTAGGAGAATTGGTTCTGCTTTGCCACTTCTGAATTTCCATTTTGAATGTCTGTGTACATGTGGGAGATTTTACCTCCACATCATCTCACGTATTCTATGCACACATTTTGCAAAGTTGCAAATATAAAACGTAGATGGTAACTGTTGTATTATCGGTTTTGTTGCAATGCTGATGTTATTTGTATGAAGTTTTAAGGGGTTCAGTCCAGCCCTCTTTTTCCTCCTGTGTAAGACTGATGTGCTCCTACTGCACAGCCGTTTGGTGGCAGAAATGTATCTTTGTTAAAAGCAGTCAGGATGGGATGGGATTCAGTTGGTCTGCTTGGGTAGGAAACTCACGGTAGTTTTAGCAACAGCTCTGATTCATTTAAACGCTGTCCCAAGCCTCATATGCTTTTAGTGTTATAAAAGCCAATCAGGTTATTGTTTTAAGGTATAAGGTGCCCCTACGGGCTTTGATCACTCAACTGTACCAAGGAATTAAATGCTCTGAGGCAGTGCAACAGCCTCATTCACTCCAGTGTTGCAAGGCAAGGCAGTCATTGCTGCTAAATGGGCCCATGTTACAGTGGCATTAGCATTTTAATGCAACTAAAGAGGAGGTAGATTGACTGTAATTTAGTATCGAGTTGCATGGTCTTGTGCAGGTCCTCTCATCGCTGCTCCACAGGGGCCGATTACAGTTACACACTGCACTTTGGAATCTAATTGGATTTACATGTAGTAATATAGTTGTGTCATAGCAACGATTCTGCTGTGCAAGTGCTATGAAATTCCAGTACAATTAGTTATTTATGTAGGAGCAATAGGTACAGGATAATGTACACAGCTTGTGCCAAGGTGCAGTTCAGGAGCAGCAAATGCTTTACTTTTTTCCTGAAGCCATTGTACGGGAATGAATATCCCAATCCTGTTTTCACAGAGCCATTTCTCCTTACCTTTCACCATAAAAGCACTGACCTGTTGCAGACATCCAGCAGGAAACTACTTCTGTCTCCAATTTTTGCTTTGGTTGAACATATGGGTTGGCATGTGTTTTGGTTTCTCTGGATCCTGAAAATGTGGTGAGCACAGGGGGCTAGCAGTAGCTAGGAGCCCTTGTGAAGCAGGACACCTGTAAGCGGTCCATCTGGTGGCCCTTCCTGCTCTACTCTAGACTTCCTGCAGGAGGTCAGATTTCTCACAAAGACAAGCCTTGCTTCTCCATCCTGCATCCTTCATTTATTTCTTGTTTCACGTGCTACCGTACGTGCTACTGCTGACCATATCAGCTGACCGTATCAGCCTCTCTTTGCCCCGTTCCTCTTTGCTCTGGGGCTCTGACTGTCTTTTTTGTGGCATGAGACAAGCAGGAGGCACATGTTTATCTGCTTTTCCTTCATCAAAGCCCGCTCCTCACAAAGAGCTGCAATGTGAATGTCAAGAGAAGCCAGTGCTCAGCAAGGAGAGCTGATGTGGTGGCTGTGGGATGAGCACAGGGGCAGGACAACATGCCAGCCACAGCTGCTCGGCTGGCTGAGGCAGTGTGGCTGCACTGCGTAGTCCTAAGGATGGGGCTTGGCCTCAGCCATTGCTCTGGCTTCCATTGTGTTCCCCCAGCGACTGTAATTAAAGGCATCAGCTTGCTTAAGTCGCAATTAGGCATGGTGGTTTTGCACTTTCTGCAGTTCTCCGTAATGACAAAATTGTAGCTATTAACTAAAGAGAGTCTGTTTAGTAGGGACTTTCTCCCCTTTAGGGCCACAGAGTAAGATGGAGCATTGCTGCTGTTTGGCACCAATTGCGGTCTTTCATCCCTTCTGACACAGCACATGCTGGTACCTACTGAAGCATTTAAGCTCTTCCTCTCTGTGGTGCTATAATTTCTTTAAAATATTGTGACATATGAGGAATAAAAAAAAATAAAATTCCTCTCCCATGCAGACCTTTGAGGGCTTGGAGGGATGTAATTATATGCATACACAGTAGGAGCAGGAATCTTATCACTCTGGTTATTTTCCTAATGATATGTTTATATAGCAGAGAGTCATCTCTGCTTTAAAGTTAGAGCCATCTTCTCTTGGCAGCAGCTATCCCAGAACAGTGGCATCACAGGACAGGACAGCTGAAGAAATTGTCTCTCAATGGCACATGCAAAACACAGGGTGAAGTGTCCCCACACACTAAGGAAATAGATAAAAAGGTCAGGGTGGGCACTGGGTTCTGACTGTCAAAAAGGGGCTCTCTATTGTGAGGCAGTGACATTGTCCCTTGTCCTAGCTGTAGGCTCTCCAAAGCCCTCTTCAGACATGCCTGAACCTGCTGCATCCGTCTCCCAGCCAGTCACATGGCACCCTCTGAACTTTCACATTGATGGAGAAGCTGTACTGATCCAGGGCAGCCTTCATACCCAGCACTGTAAAGGGGCACATGCCCTCAGCACTTCACAGCAGAGATGGGTCAATGGGCAACAGATGTTTGTACCTTCCAGATTTCAAAAGGGAAGACATCTCTACTCCTTATCTAGAGATGTACATTTACAGTGACAGAGGAAGGACGTTAAATGTGAGCGATTAATGCAAAACAAAAGATCTATGAATATTCATTATATGTTTTATATTGTAATAATTTCAGCCACCTTGAAACTCCTTATTTGCTTCCTGCCAACAACAAACGATAGACTTTTGCTCACAGAAGTCTTAATGGGAGGCAATTTTCAAAGGCACATTTACAAATGTTTGTGGGAAACAGATGTTAAATGCACCCACTCCAGAAATCAATATGAAATGCTGGCAGTGAGAGAGCAGGGATAGACCCAGGTGACTTATCTAATGCCTCACAGGGAAGCAGTGGCTTCAGCATAGCTGCAAGTATGCCAAAACCATTTACAAAGGATGCGTGAATTACAGTGCTGAGCGACCCTGTGTGAATATTGGACTCTTCCGGCATGGGGTGCTGTTTGAAGAGTTAATGAGTGCCGCTTCCCCACAGACCCTGCAGAGTGTGGGGTTGGGGCTGTGTCAAATGGGTGGAAAAAACACCATTGGAGAGGGTGCCCTGAGAAAGCAAGTCAAACACATGCCTTGCATGTTAGTCCGTAGTCTCTCCTCACCTTTGCCTAGTCAAAGACTGTCACTAGCGTTGTGCAGGCAGAAATTGAAATTTACTGAGAAAATTGTAATTGTTAGCTTGAGGGCAGTGGCAGTCTGCCCTTGAGTCCCTGTGCCTGCACCTGTGTATCTACTGCTTTGGGTGGACAGGCTGGTGGCTTTGCTGCTCCTCTCTGTTCTTGCTTCCCAGGCAGCGACAATGAGGCAGAGGGAGAGGAAATAGTCTGCTCAACTTGGCTTGAGAGCTGGCTGGAAGAACGAGAGATAATGCCCAATGTCTCAGGCTGCTGCTCCTAATGGCTGGGCTTCCCAAAGATGCATTCCAACTCCCTTCTTCTGCCTTTTCCATTTTCCTAGTAAATGGGCTGTAAAGTCACAGCAGATTAAAGTTTGTCTAAACCTCCTATAAAATATTGAAGGTGCAGCTGGTATTAATCTAGTCCTGTTGTGGGATGAGGTGCATGTGTAATGGGACTATAGATTTACATGTGGTCTGTGGGCATTTAAAACATCCCAAAGATTGTTAAAGAGATTCTGAGAAATTGAATCCCTCACTGCATATTAAAAGCTCTTCATTACTGCTAATGTACACTAAATTAAGGTGGCAATTAAACTGAGCTTATTCATCAGGATGTTGTGTTTTAATAAATTGTGTATTTAACATGATTGTGTTTTATTGACTTCTTCAGTAATTGCATACTTTTCTCTTACAGGACAAGCTTGGATAGAACAAAATACATGGGACACACAGACAATTAAAGACTAGAATAGGCACTGTGCTTCCAGTCCCAAGATTTTTAAAGGTGAGTGTTGCTTACAGCGTGGTCTTTGTGCCTGCCAGATGCTTTCTCTGTATCTCTGTCAGGGCTGGTTAAGTGTACCAATGGTGTGCAGGAGAGGGGTAAGAAATACACAGCTCAACTGCATCACTGTCACTCACAAGGTACTGGATAAAGTTGTCCCTCTTCAGTCTCTAATGAAACTGCCCCATCTCTGTTGTATCTAGAGGAGAAGACTGTGTGGAAATAATACTCCGAGAAGATTTTCTGGAAGGCTCTTCCTATTGGATTTGTTCTCTTAGGAGAATCCACCACTTTGGTTTTACAGAAGTTGGATACTGCTTGCAGACAGTGAATACAGAAATCCTCTTGTGAGAGATGGACCTGCGAAGGAAGGCAGGCATGCTGAGCCAAGTCTTAATAGCTGCAGGCCAAAGGGTGGGCTGCCACATTGCTGTGGAGAGGACACAATGGAGCAAAGCCAGGTGGTGGTGGTCCTTTGCCACTGGTGAAGCTTAGAGCTTCAGGGATGTTTCCAGGGATATCCCAGCTAGACAGCCTCTAGAAATTGATGCATTTACTTGGAAAAGAATCTACTCCATATTTTCTAATGCCTTTAAAGGCTGCCTGGCACTGGTTCTGGAGAGCTTCAAACATGTCTTCTGCTTTTACTTGGTTGCATTGTGTATGAACAGAAAGGTAGGTGTGAGTTAGCACCATTTCCTCCTCAAGCCACTGGCTAATATAGTAGGAAGTACTGCAGAATTGGTTCTTGGGTTTTAAAGAAGCAACAGATGAGTTCAGTGGACAAGGTCTTCGTGCATGTGGATGACAAGGAGATATTTATGTTAAAAGAAGATATACGTGGATGATGTGATGGAAAAGAAGTGACTGAGAAAGTGATTCACCTGAGGGTTGGGCAAGATGACCTCTAGGCATCTCTTTTACTCTTGGTTATTCTGTGTTTTCTGTCAAATATTTGAAATGGGAAGATTGTGATGAGCCATCAGGCAAGTGCAAAAGGCCTGAGTTTTTTGTACTGAAACACAAATTGTCTGCAGAGGTATGTTAGGAGTGGACAAGGAAAATAGTTCACACACTTGTTTTCAAGTAGAGGGTAGGAGCCATATGATAAGGAAGATGCAAGGATTGAGACTGGTGAAGATGAGGTGCTCCTGAGAGTTCTGATAGACTGATGCATCTGTGAAATGCTCTTGTTCCATTTGCCATCAGGTAACTTGGACACACCTTGGACAACTGTTTCAAAAATCTTTTCACGAGGCAGGTCATCATACACTGGAAGAGGTGTCCAGGGAGACTGGGGAATCTCAGTGCTCGGAGACATTCAAAACTTAACTAATGTGACCCTGAGCAGCTTGCTTTAACTTTGAAGTTGGATCAAACTCTGGAATTGGCCCATGTTGGAGGCAGTGGGTGTTTGTACTCAATGACATCCAGAGGTCCTGTTCACCTAAGTTTTTCGGTGATTCCATCTCCAAAGCAAAGGTAAAGGAACAGTTGAAGTGAATCCATGGGTTTCAATCTAGTGTGGAAAGGATATGGGGATTGAGGGAGATGTCAGTGGTAGCAAAGAGAAATTTAGTAGCAGTTTTTGGGGTGTGTTTGAGCAGCTGCCTTCAGAAAGGAGAAATTCAACGGTAGCTGCAAGGCATGCAAAAGCAAATGACAGAAGAAAGGAAATAAATTGTGGCTAGAGAACAAAAAAAAAAATGCATTGCCTTAAAAAACCTAGACTATTCCTAACTGATTACAGCAGCTAGGGTGTTTCCTGGCTACACTGCTGGGGATTTTTAGCCTCCCCATCACTTTGCAAGATAAAATTCATGTGATTCATGTGATGAAGGAGGGTAGAGGGGGTGGGCAGGGGGGTGGGGGGAAAGGGGAGAGAAATGTAGAATAATCTGCCTAAGAAAAAGCTGAACATTTATAGCTACATTTCAGACAAAAACATATACATCTCATATGTCTCACAAGTCTGAGATGGGACAAGCCAGAGGAAGCATCTGTCAGCCTCTGTCTTCTGCAGTTCTGACTCTTAATGTTTGCTTAGCATTAAACGTCTCCTGCAGAGGAGAACTTAATCTGTCATAAATTTGGGGCCTGGAGGAGGGAAGAGAAGGTATTTTTAAAAGGTAGATTAAGATATTTGCCTACAATTTTTATCTCACTTATATCAGTGTGTACTAGTAGTAACTCGGAAAATTTGCCTTTTGTGTGTATGGCTTAAAAAGAAAAGTAGAAGGAAAAGCAGCTCTTTGGGTCAAGATTGTCCTTTAATGTCAATTATTTTCTCCATACAGCCTCTCATCAGGGATTTCAGGTACCTTCATCTAATTAGGAAGGCAGTAGTTGGCACAAATGCATTCATAATTACTTTATTTGTAATTAATATTATTTGCATTTGCTTGCATTGTTTGTAAATAGCATTAGTTACATATTCTTCGAAGTCTGTAGCAGTACTGTGCTGGAGTGCTTTAACTCTGACATCAAACAGTTTTAAGTGCCTCGTAAGAGATCAGATCATGCTTTTAGTTGATTTTTTCTGTTTTGATCAGTGCAATTACAGGATCCAAATTATGACGTTGCATGTGCTGTTTGGGAATCTGGGTATCCAGCAGAAACTGGAAAGGGTGTGTTATGCTGGTACATGTGGATCTCTCCAAGCTCTAAGTTCCACCACTGAAACAGGTGCTCAGATCAGGTCAGTGGGTTGGCATTTTTTGGAAGTTTGTATTGAGTTCTTCTGATGTGGAAACTCTGAAATGATTTTTCTTGGCTTTGCCAGCCCAGACTTCCATTTGCACATCCTGAGTAGAAGAATTTTGGAATTTGTAAGCCCCAGTAGGTGTATTCCTGACTTGAAGCACAGCACAGTGAGTAGGGTTGCACTTAGTTTTTGCTTTGCTGTGTGAAACGTGGTGGATTTAGAAATCACAAATCTGAGCCCAGTGCTGCTGCTGGGGACAATTTCTTGCCAAGGCAATGAAGGGAGTCCTTGTTTGTCAAAGCTGAGTGTCCATGTGTTCTTGCTGCTCCCAGGTTACTGTGACTGCCTGGCCCTGACAGTGAAGTTTTCAGGATCTGGTTGCTTAATGGATTTACAGTCTCCCTTCCTTGCTTAGGCCTAGAAAATATTTTAACATACTGAGTTGGTGAGTGGGCAGGAGCAGTGCGAAGAATCCTAGTTTAGGTTTGTCTTTGAAAATAAAAGTAGGCCTGTACTCAGTTCATGTAAATCAGAGTAGTTCCAAGGGAGCTTGTTTGTCTTACAGAGGAAGCAGATCCAGACATAGAAAGGAAAGTAAGGCAGGGATGTGATTTATCAATGCTACAAAGCAGCAAGACAGTGTTTGGCTTAGGAGCTGCTGCTTTTTAGACCACAGGCAATGTTTTTCATGTGGGTGACTGTAGTGTTATGGGTGTGTATGATGTGCAGTGACACAATAAGAATAAACTCTTTTGCATTTCGTTCTTTTTTGACTAAGGCTGCTATGATGTGGATCATGCAGGTGGATGCTCAAGGCAGCACGATTTTGAAATTTCTCAAATAACTTTAAGACTTTGGCTAATATACTAAGATTTAGGCATCCTTTGTTTCAGTAGAGTGTGACTTTTTTTTGTGGTGAGAGGAACATCTGGGTGACACTAATTGTGGGGCTCTTGAAGTTCATTGACTTGTTTGTATTTTCATATCCCTCTTTACTATAGCATCCAAGACATGTGTTAGTGGAGCTGAAGGTTTACCTTTCCCATAAAACTGAAGAATTCTCTCCCCAGGTCCTTACCCTTCTGGACTTCAAGATTTATAGAGCATGGTGCTAATAACACCAAGGTTGTGGGTTTGATCCCCATATGGTCCATTAACCTAAGAGTTGGACTTGATGATCCTTGTAGTTCCCTTCCAACTCAGAATATTCTGTGAAAACTCTTTTCTCTGTGAGTTTTTCAGACATGGCTTTAAACACTGTTTAGAAGCTGTGGGCATTTTCTCCAGGCCCACATCAGAGCTCTGTGCCCCACTCCATCTGCTGTAGTAATGGTCTTGTCTTTGAGTCTCTCTGAACAGAACAGTTATGTATCAGAGATATGAGAAAATAAAGTTTGTAAAGAAGAATATTGCCCTCATTCTCAGGTCCAGATTCAGGTTTGTGTTTCTCCAGAAGCAAGGTGGAACTTCTCAGGATCCCTCTAGCAAAGGGGGTTCCCTGGGCAGTGCCCACCCAGCAGAGGCCACACTGCTGTCCTGCCCCAGGCACGTGTAGATGCAGAGGAAAAGCAACTGCGTGTCCACATGGACTTCTGTGTCTCACCATTTGTGTCTCTGCTTGTTTTGTCACTAAGAAAGGAGCTGATTTGATTTTAAACCAAGTAAAAGTAATGCAGAAAACACACACTGTGTTAAGAAAAATCTGTCTCTTACCTCAGGCAGCCCCATGCTGGGGGCTCTGCCTGCCATGGGTTTTCTCAGCTTTTTGGCTAAAGCAGACCAGTTCCTATGGTCACAGAAGAAAGCACCCTGCAAGGCTCTGCAGCACTTACAAGTTTTTTGGATTAACTAAAACAATGAAGGAATGAAAGAGAGTTTTATTTCTGACCTGGTGAAAACCTTGGATAATTTCATTTTTTTCTTTTAAGTGAATTAAGTGTACTTTGCTAGCATAGCATATCATAAGATGCATGTCTGTTCAGGGAATGGCATTTGCAGTGGAGAAAGGGAATGAGATGCTGCTAAGACATGTGGGCTTTGGGAAGTCTTCTTTAAGGAGCTGAGCAAACCTCTGCCTCTGTGTTTGTGTATGTTCAGATCTATCTGTGCACAGTAACACGACTGCATTGTTTTCTGTTTCAGTGTATTTATTTGTCTGTCCCTCTGGGGTACTTGGTGATATAATGGCATATTAGGAGACATAGTCACTTCATTAAACAGCAAGCAGAAACTTTTTTCCAGTGTAAACCTCATCTGGTCAGGATTTATTGTCACTTTTCAGATAGCAGCACTGTCCAAGCAGTTTGTTGTCTAAACCAGACATGGAGTTTCAAAACTGGTTAAGATTACATAGCGTTTTTTTCTGGCCTTAAAAGCTTTCCAACATTGATCCATGGGTTTTTCTTGAAAAAGGCATGTGCAAAGTGGGGCATAGAGCACCAGGACTTCACTAGCACAGGACATCTCAGTGCATGACAAGCAAGTGGTGTGCTCCAGGCTGAGTAACCCTGTGTGGACAGCCTCCATGGGCCCTCCCATGTCCACACACTGCAGTCATTCCCAATTCAAATGTCTACAAGTTTTCCCGAAACTGTTGTCCATGTTTGTGTGACGTTCATTCTGTAGAGGAAGCTTGTATGGAGCTAACTGTCCCAAACACTTGTTGTGCTTCTTTTAATTGGGCACAAGCTTGTTCTGGCTCCTGTGTCAATGAGACCTTCTTTGGTGTAAAACAGGCAGGTGCATTCAGTGCTTCTTCAGCTTGACAAGCTTTAAGAAGGGCAGTAAAAATCTTCATGTGCAGAGGGATATTTTTCCCCAGTATCTCACTCTGCAAGTAAAGCTAGACCTTTCCTCTCCTGCAACCCTCCTCTTCACATCTGTGTTCAACAGACCTTAAAGAATGCAAAGAGACTTAGCAGTGATCATTATCTCTTACTAGCATGTGCCTATGTTGCCTTGTTCAGGTAAGAAAAGAGCTCTTCTGTATAATGAACTCCACAGGATCTTGGGGGAAATACAAATGGAAATAGGATTGTGTCATTCCAAGAAAAAATGAGTGTGCTAGGAAAGTGTTGTTTTGCAGGAGGAGTTGGACCAAGGAGCCTGAAGACCATGGAGGGAGACTGTCTGAGCTGCATGAAGTACCTGATGTTTCTTTTCAATTTCTTTATATTTGTAAGTATTAAGAATTCACTTTCTTTCCTGAATCCTTCTGTTTCCAGCAGCCTGCTGCCTCCCAGCAGGATAGGCTGTAATTTTGATAAAGTTGCCATGATACAGAACACCCCCTCTGCTTTGCACTAGCAATCACTGAGCATTTTGCAGCATCCAAAGATGCTCAGACGTTCAGCAAGGCAGTGCAGTGGTCACTGTTTTCTGTGTTATTGCTGTCCTTGACCAGGGAGACCACAGGGAAAGCTGTAACTAGGGATGTATGTGGTTTGTCCTTGAATGGCAGAAGAAATTGTTTTCTAGTCCTGGGTGCCCTGCTGAGGTTTTCAGTCAGAAACAGTTATTCCCATTGTTCTTGTTTTTTAAAGGAAGGGTGGCCAGCGCCCTGGCCTCTGTGGCAGGGGTGGTTCATGCATGCCCCTTCACTGGGATGTCCTCCACCGATGTGGCAGCAGATTGACACTCTGTCTTTCAGCATTAGGGAGGGAGGAAACAGTTGGTAGAGTGATGTGTCTAAGAAGAAAGGCACTTTTGCTGCAATTAATTCATTTAGTGAGCAAGAGATAGTAGCAGGTCAAAAGTCACCTGTACAGTGGAGAATATATGCAATGGAGAAACACAAATTCTCCAAATTAATACGTTTGATCAAAAGATAGTAATGAATCCAGTTTTTCTTCAGCAGTTGTTTTATGTTGACCTGTCTTCCTCTCTCTCCGTTCCTTGTGCTGTGACAGCTGGGAGGAGCATGCCTGCTGGGACTTGGAATCTGGGTCATTGTGGATCCCACAGGTTTTCGAGAGATAGTGGCTGCCAACCCTCTGCTCTTCACAGGAGCGTACATCATGTTGGCTATGGGAGCAATGCTCTTTCTGCTGGGTTTCCTCGGCTGCTGTGGTGCCATCCGTGAGAACAAATGCCTCCTGCTTTTTGTAAGTATCCTTGCATTTTCTGTTGGCCTTTTGGTGCTTCCCAAGAGTGGGAGTGACTGGATAGATGATGCTGTGATAAGTTCATTAATGGGTGTGTCTACTGTTATAGCCATTATTCCTTTAGATAACAAACAGGCTTAGGATACTTTTACACACAGATAGAAATACAGAGAATTTGCTTTTTCCGTATATAGATTTGAACCCAGTCTCTGAGTGTATTTTGACCTGTTTAAGCTTTCTTTCAAAATGCCCCCATTGAATTGGTTGGAGTTTTTTAACATTTATAAATTGACCAAGAGTGGTTCTCTTGACCTCCCAAAACCCGCTGCTCCACTTGCAGATTCATTCCTCAGGGGTTCACAGCAAAGCAGAGGGAACATATGGAGCGCAGCACCTGGGTAAGGGAGCTCCCCCCTTGTCAGCAGAAATGCCTAGCTCGGAGTTGCATGGTGGCCTGTCATTGCAGCTCTCAACAGCTGGTCAATCCCTTACACAGCCTACTCTGCTCCTAAAATCAGTGAGATTTGTCATTGTTAGGCACATTCTCCTGAATGGCAGGGTTAAACCTCAGCCCATGCGGTCATCAAAAATTACAAAGAGCTAAAATAAGTCACTTCTGCCCCTGCCTCCTTCCCCATAAGTTCTGATACTGTAGGGTTCCCAGCCATTATCTTCTACTGCAATGCATTATCAGTTATGTATTGAAAGATAAAGATCATTAGTTTTCTTGTTTTCTTTTTTTTTTTATCTGATGTGATCTTTTTCCCTCTTATTGTGTCTGTTTGCACTTTGGGGTTGTTATGTTTTTTGTTTGTTTGTTTTTAAGATCTTGATCTTACTTCTTGTATTTTGCTATGATTGTGTCCTGCACAGCTGCTTCATGGTGTAAAAAAGGCTTGTCTCTAGCTTTAAATAGAACGGAAAAGTCCTTTTTCTTGAAAGCAAACCCATCTTTCCTAGAGATGAGTGCGGCTGCAGTGAGATAAATTCTCTCTAGCCCTTGCCTCACACATGCCTTGAGTTCATAGCCTGCAAATGAGATCCCTTTCCTGGAAGCCATTGTGGATTTGATTTCTAGTGGGTCATCTCAGAAGAAAATCAGAAAGCCAGATGTATCCTTGCAAAGTCTGTGGAGATCTGCCCAGAGGAACCTAATAAAATGCAAAGGATCAGGCCCAATGAGCCTGAGGTTACTTCAAAGCCTGTCCCTGTCAGATTAAGGAACTAAAAGTTACGTCTGATGAAAATTGTTGATTGTAAGTGAATGGGAGAGTGATATTTTCAGTTTTGCATACAGATGGGTAACCTGGCTGGAGGAAGGTAGCTCTGGGCCATGCTCTTTCCTGATTTAATATCAGTTACAGGTTTGAATATTCCTCCATGTGTTCTACTTATACTCCAACACACTTGACTTTGTGGTTATTACTTTTCTGACTCTTAGAGATAGTTCTGAGCCCTGCTGCTTTATTTATTTACCTTTATGATTATTTGATTTTGAATGAAATGTGAGAAAAACACAGGCTGGAAGTAATACTCTAGACTAGGAGAAACTCTAAGTTACTGGATGAGGAATTATTGTTCCACTTTGATCAGGTCTTTGAGGGCTTCTGATATCAAAGCCAATTCTGTTAAACAACCTGCTGTCTCATGTTCAGCAGTGTGAACCACTTGGATGAGGACCTGTGCTGATGCCAAGGGAGAAGAAATATATTGCCCACTTCTTTTTTGGGGCCACACCAGCTGATGTTAAAATCAGCTTACATTAAAACATCTGTGAACCCCAAAGTCTGATAGGAGTAAGTTTTAGGCATTGAGGAGGCAAAATGTTCATGACTGTACTCCAGAGAGACTGGGAACACTTGCAAGACAGAGAGTGTAAGTCTTTGGTGGGGTTTGCTAGATCAAATCAAGTCCACTTACAAAGTTGTTGAAGAATTGATGAGCCAGAGAGCTGCTTGAGTGAGATTTCACAGTGATGCATAATGTATGTCTAAAGCTTTTAGTCCAAATGTAAACAGAAGATAGAAGGGACAAGACAGATGCACAAAAGCACGGTCTCTAGGTTCTGGCTTCTGTCTTTCCAAGGACTTTTATTTTTCATTACGCTGCTTGTCTTTTGGTTGAAAAAAAAACCCATCACCGTGGAACCTAACATCTCGCATTAAGCACAAGGCTGTGAAGTATTTCTAGATTTCCCAGCACTTGGACTTGGCTCACAAAATTGGCCTGCAGATCAGACATTGAATAACTTCTAGATTGTCCTGAAGACCCTCTGATTGCAAAACACCACCATAAAAATCAGAATCCAAAATACTGTTGATCATACAACATTGCATCATGGCACTGAATTCACCTTTAACAAGAACAGTCCATGTCAGCTTCATTTGGCTTAGTTTTGAGTGCAGATAGCCTGTTCTGCACTTCTCTAAAATGGATGTAGTAGCCCTTGAAACTCCTCAACATGAAAATGCAGGTTCTTTGAGTTGAAGGCAGTTGCTGCTCTTTTTAGAACAGCAGTTTTGAGTTGTGAAAAATAAACATGAGGCATTGATTTGTGGAAATTTCTGATAAACCTGTAATCATCACCAGGAGCTGAGGCAAGATTTTTGACCAGTATGAGAGACCTCGCTTCTCAGGATGTTCACCTTGGATGTGAGGGCTACCTGTGTTCAAATTTTGTGTCTCAAGCTTAAATTTGAATGTGAGGCTACTGTGTCTGATGCATTAACCAGCTGGCTGTTTTGCAATTTCACATATCAGTAATCAATTTAATTTTTGGAAGGAAAACATAGTAAGCAGGTTTTGACTCTCCTTAAAATTCAGAATGGGAGCAAGTTCTGAAACACTGATGATCCATCTTCCTTTTCTCATCAGCCCTAATGGCTGCTTGTGGGGTTTTTTTTACAGTAACTATTATAAATCTGTAATGCAGAGTGCACAATATAAGTGTAAATCAGTTTGGGAACGATAATGACGCTTATCATGGATAATCTGGGAATGACTACTTCTGCACAAGCCTGTGCCTGGAGCTTGGGTGAACATGTGTCTCCCAGTAATCAGTAAATGAAATGCAATTAGCAGGGTGATGGGATTAATCACTTGATCACCAACTTAGACCTTAGTGACTATGCTGAGATCCCTTGATGGATGATGAAGTGAATTTGCAAAGCATCGTTCATTCTCATCAGTTGTTCTTTGCCCTCCTGTGGTGAAATTAAAACAGTCTCTAAGCAGGAAAAAAAGAAGCCACACAGAAAACTCCAGCAGTAAGAATAAATTAGAGAGTTAACTAGTTCAGCAAAATCAAGCAACATAATTTTGTTGGAAACCAAAGTCCTTGCTCATCTGATTTTCTTGTTTTGTCCTTCGAGCCCAGGCTCCTTTTCTTTTGTTTCCATTGTGAAGCAGGAAGACAAACAGGACAGGGTGGTGTATGCACTTTTCCAGTGGGGAAAAATCGTTTACAGCCCTGATAATTGACAACAAAACAACATTTTGCCCATTCCAAGCAGGTAGTTTGAATTCTCTCTCCATCACCAAAGTGCACAATGCACAGCCTTTCAGGCACTGTTTATAGATCATTGCTCAGGGATCACAATGGCACTTGTGGCCCTCTCTGCCTGCTGTTTCAGAAAGACCTTCTACAACCATCCAGACTTCTCTTTCTATTTTTACTTATTGCTTCATCTGCCTTTGTTGGTAACATGTAACACATTTATCACCCTCCATGCAATGTGGTCTTACAGGGTTCTCTGTTCACTTCTGTTTTTCTCACAAAGTGCCAAAATCTGAATTAATTTCTTAACATTCACTCAGCTTTATAAAATCATCTTTGAGTCTGTGTGCTAATTTTAGACAGGCTGACTGTCAAATGGTCATTTCTCTTTCTGGCTATAAAACCATTAAAACTGTCCATCTAGTTCAGACTTATTGTTCCTCAAGCCCTCTATTTTGTCCACAAGAATGGAAATAAATGCTATTTTGGAAGAGAACGTGAGCCCTAGCCACTTTCTGCTCTGCTCCCATAGCTGTTCCTCAGCACCAATATTTGTTGTTTTAGAATGTTACAGGATGCATCCCTGCCTGTTCCTTTTACTGTTTCATATGTTCTGAAGCAGCATCAAACTAGCATGAGACATCAGTGTAACTGAGAATTGGTCCCAAGGGCAGGCAGAGTCCTGAGCTCTTTGATGTTACTGAGGGTTTTCCTGCTCTGGGAGATTTGTTCCCTTCAACATTCTTTTCCCCTTTCTTGAGTTTTTACCTCTAGCTGTGTGCCACCAGGCAGAAGGATCTGAAGTGGGAGCCTGCAGGAGTCTCAGAACTCATCCCAGCCAGGAAACACTCCGCAGCACCTGAGTGCTCTGGGTAGAAAAGGGAACAACACCCTCACAGCAAGATGTCAGTCTCTCTGGGGATGAGACCTCTTAAGTGCATTGTATTTAATTCGGGGGTGGGGGGGTGTTGTGCAGGCACAGTGAATCAGTCGGGCTTGGTAACATCACTGAAACAAGGTGCCTGTAAGTAAGACTGAAAACCAGACTTTTTAGATTGAGGCAGCAGAAGGCTGCAAGGGCAACAGGATGAAATGCAGTTTAAGATGAACAGCCAAGTGCCTCTCTGTTTTGCTTTCCTTTCTTTTTCCTGAAATTATGATAAGTGTAATGGTTTTACTTCAAACTGGATGCTTTTTTCTCTTTTATTAACCCCTAATATTCTAGCTATGCTTTCTGTCAAGTCAGAAGTGTGCCCTTAATTTAAGGATATGAATATACAGACTTTGGATACTATACAAAACATGGATGATTCTTCCATTATCAAATTTTATTCTTATGATGTGTTATCAATTTTCTGTAGAGGTTCTCTGTGGTTATTACTTAACTCAGTGCAACCCCATTGTGTGAAGGAAGATATTAACCAAGGCTAATTTTGTCCTGAAATGCAGAATACTCTAAAAAGAGACCATTTTTGGTCACAGGTTTAAATATTTGAGTATATATCCCACTGCCTCCCTCCATACAAAATAAGCTGTAATCATGTCACAGTAAAATTGTGTTGTTTATATTGTGATGAAGGGTATGTCAGCATATGTATGTGATGCATGCCCTTGTGTCAGGAAAGTTTAAACCTGTATGAGCATGTCTACAATTATATATCTTCTTCCATTGAAACAGGCCTTAATGTTTTAACCTGGTGCAGATTTATCAGGGGACTCTACAGGTTCTGTAGCCTCATTTGGCTGTACTCATTAGAAGCAGGCAAAAGCATCACAAGCTCCCATGTCCTGTGATGAGATCAGAGAGGGACTGTGTGTGCTCCATGTGACTGTCTCAGGGAGTTTTTTAATTGTCAGGGAAAAAAAATTTTCTAGTTATTTTTTCCATCCCTTTGGTGATTAGCAATCCCCTGTATTCCTACTACCTATTGCTCAAATTTAATGCTGTCTGTGCTTTTTTGTTTATCTTCTCTTTTCCAGTTCTTCATGTTTATTTTGTTAATCTTCCTGGCAGAGCTTTCAGCTGCAATCCTGGCTTTTATCTTCAGAGAAAATGTAAGTATCCAGTGGTGGGCAAACTGAACTCCAGTGGGATTGTACACAGCTGGAGCATGGTGTTAGACGGTGGTTGATTTGTTTGCAGAGTGACTGATTGTTTCAAATACCAGCAAACCTGCTTCATTACTACCATCAGTCTGCAGAACTGACAGCAAGCCAGGGAATGCTAACTAATCTGGACTGTGCAGGGTGAATAGTTTGAGTATACAAGGGGGCTACTTATTCCTCAAGTTTTTTGAGTCTTTTAGAGTCGTCCTGACTCTCTTGCAGCCAAACAGTTGAACATTCCATCACAAAGAATCATAGGTTCATAGAATCAACCAGGTTGGAAAAGACCTCTGAGATCATCAAGTCCAACCCTTGATCCACTACCACTGTGGTTACTAGATCATGGCACTCAGTGCCACATCCAGTCTCATCTTAAAAACCTCCAGGGACGGAGAATCCATCACTTGCCTGAGCAGCCCATTCCAATGCCTGGTCACTCTCTCTGTAAAGAATTTCTTCCTAATATCCAACCTAAACCTCCCCTGGCAGAGCTTAAGACCATGCCCTCTTGTCCTGTTGATGATTGCCTGGGAGAAGAGACCGACCCCCACCTGGCTACAACCTCCTTCCAGGTAGTTGTAGAGAGTGATGAGGTCTCCCCTGAGCCTCCTCTTTTTCAGGCTAAACAACCCCAACTCCCTTTATAATAAAGTCACACTTTATAAAACTTTATAATAAAGTCACAGTAACCTTAAAAGCACTATTTTTTTTAATAGAGCATATGTTTAATATTAATAGTGAAAACTCCTGTTTTACTAGGAAAGCCAATGCTTGCTGTGCAGTGCAAAAGCTCTCTTGTGAATCTTCTAATCATATTCCTTCTTGAATTTCCATATTGTAGTGTTTACCAGACTTCTATCAATGCTGCTTGTCAGATATCCTTCCTGACCTGCCCTAAGCAAGTCTCCCCATGTCCAGTTTTCAGTCCCATCAATGGTTCCCTTGCATATTGCCCTGCTTAGAGTTTAGTCCTTCTCTCCAAAACTTCATGTGATGTAGCCTTTCTCTACTCTGCTGCTGTGCATATTATTAAATGGCTATCATCCCTCCCCTGTGCTAGTAGTAGACTTTTACTATGCTACTAGTAACCACAGACTCACTTCTTTCTCTAAACAGCAAAAGTTTGTGTATTTGTATGTTCACATATGCCAAAGAAGAACCTGATTGAAGTAGGTCCATCCTTCTCTGAGTGATGGGTGTGAAAGTAGATTGGTCACTAGAGGTGGTCACTGGTGACTGCTAGTATTTGTTTTGTTTATCTGGCCTCCACTGGTAGTATGAGAACATACAGCACATTTCCTCTACTGAACGTGAGAGAAATACTGTATAAGCATAGAAGGGCCATGTATAATGATGCTTTTCTTGAATCAGGATTATCTTTTTGATTGTATTCATGTAAAAAGCTTTTGATACAAAAGAATCAAGGCTTAGGAAGCTCACAGCAAGACAGTGTGGTGTTTGTAGGATGGGCTTGGGGGGAAGGTAGTGAGAAGATTTTTTTTCCCTTTATAAGCTGGGGTATTTTTGTCTTTGCCTCAGATCTGAAGGCAGTGGGGAAGGGATGGCACTCTGCACAAAGAGTGGGTGCCCCATTCCAGCTTAGATTTTGAGACCATGCCCTCATGGGAACAGCTATGGCTCCATAAATACTTGCAGCATGGGGGGTCTGGAGTGTTCTGGCCATTACAGCTCTGTTGTTTTAGACAACTTAGACAATTCCTTTGGTTCGGTACAAGTTGTTAACCACACACATAGAAATGCCCCGCAGATCCAGGTATAGGCTTCATGACAGAGAGAACACGCTCCCTAGCGATCAGGGATTGACTGACAACTGATGGCTCCCACCTCTCATCTTCTCTCTCAGAAACTGGTAAAAGGTACAAGAAACTGCCCAGGCATGCTGCAAGTCCTGAGTGCAGGGTGGCTATGTTCTCTCTGCTTGCAACCTGCTTCTGGGCAAAGTATCAGTACTTTCCACTCTCATGGGAGCTGGAAGATGTAAGGACATGTTATCTTGCAAGATAAGGTCACAGTGGTTATTCTAGACTTCTGCGGCATCTGACAGTGTTTTGTGAGATAAAACTTGAAGGGGAACAAACTTCTATCTTTCTTAAGTTTGTCTCCTTGTTTGTATCATCACCTTCCCACTCTGTCAGAATGACTGACAGGAAGGGCTTAAATGGGAAGGAATGAAGAACGTCAGATCCCTACATAGCTGGAGATGGCTCTGTGCAGAAGTCAAACTCGGTCTGAAAATTCTTGTGGTTTGTTCCTTCCTCAGGTTTCTTCTGAAAAAAAATACCCCTTGTTTTGGTGTTGCTATATATTTTGGTGGTAGCTCCTCTGGCTTTGTATCTACTTGTAGCCAATTTTGCTGTCACCTTGGGGTTAGGGTGAGGCTAGATGGCTGGGCAGGATTTCCATGGGGGCAAAGCTGGTCTTCCTGTGACCCTGTGTCAGGAAGAATTCTTCACACAATTTAAGTTAAAGTTCAGATGTGCGTTTCTCTTGCTTGCAAAAACAAATTATTTCAAGGCATGTGGCAGTAAATGCACATTTAGGCAACCTAAATTTCTAGGAAACTTACCAAGAAGGATTCTGGGATGATCATTGCACCAGTCCATATGGCTGTGGTCTCACTGGGTGTGTAGAATGAGACAAAATATACACTTTATCTGTTTGCTTTGTCAGATAATGTTCAGTGCAGCTTTCTCCTGTATAGTGTTTTACATCCAAACCAGCTCTCAAACACTCAACAGGGTTAAATTATTAATAGGTGAGGGAGTGAAAGAAATTAAGAGACAAAAATATAGGAAAAAAAGAGGTGTTTTCTGCTGAGATTTGACATTAGAGGAAAAGCCAGTGAAGCAGAGTGTGGTGTTGGAGTGAAAGTGGTGTTCGCAATGGTGAGCTACTGTGATCTGCAAGTCCTGCTGCACTTCCAAAGAACTGTCTAAAAATGTTCTCTGAAGAGGAAGGCTACTGTTAATCAGCTATGGGATTTCTAGACTTTCTCTTCCTTTGAAAAGGAGGTTTTGGTGGGTGGAGAACCCTTTTAATCCAGAAGTTCCCCCTTAAAATAATGACTTCCATGAACACTAGAGAGATGCTATGAAAGATCAAATTGACTTATGTATAGGAATTGCTCTTTCTATGCCCTTCAGAGGTCTGGATGGGAAAAAACCCAGAGGGATTTTTTACTCTTAGTGGATTGTTTTAGCAAGCAAGAAAGTGGGATGGTAGGAGCAGAAGAGTCCAGTGGCAGGAATGCCTGTGTTGTGCAGAAATGCCTTCGGTTTTCTAAGCCCCCTTCATCTGGCTGCACTAATCCCAGCCAAGCCATTTTTTGAACCAGTGTGACAAAACAGCCACACTTAATTCACTGGCATGTAAATGTATGCATGGATGTGTTGTACTGGAGACGTCACCCCCAGAACAGTGAGCGAAAACCACAGCTGAACAGCTCCTTTTTGTTCATGGCTGTGGCTGGTACAACTGTGTTGTCTCAAGTATGTGCAAAGATCTAGTTTTATTTGTAGGTCCTTTGCTCCCTTCTGAATGGTTCTTGCCATAGCACTCCAATGTGCATAGATTTCCTCAGGGCTGATACGAGTTTCAGTGAGAGGGGCACCATGGACATGGCTGTAGAACTGTCTTATTGTTGTGGGTTTTTTTTGGGGTTTTTTTTTGTTTTTTTTTTTTTTTTGTTGTTTTTTTTTTTTTTGTTGCATTTTTCTGAAGTTCAGATATTTGGAACAAGCAGTTTAAGAGCAACAAAATGGAATCAGTTATTTTCCTGGTAAACTTACCCTTCCAGCACTCAGCTTTGTTTTAGGCCAAGTGTCGTAAAAATCACACACAAACTCTGAACAATTTCCTCTGGGATTGCTGCTGTCAAAATAAAAGTTTCACTTTATATTTAAATTACTCTTTTGTTTTAGATGCCGACAAAGGCAGCCAACTGGGATTATTACCAATGGTAATATCAGTTTTCAAAGTCTGTGCTTCAGGAACAGACAAGGATCAAAAAAATGTGCTTCTCTCTGCAGGGTTGGATGCTGTGTGGATAAAGTACACAGTGAAAGGGAAGGAAAGGAGAATACTAAGGATATGTTTCAGCATCTTCTAACCTGACCTTCCCTCAGTTCACCAAATTCCCAAAGGAAAAATGCTGTGTTATCTGGTATTTTAATATTCAAATGCAAAAAGATAAGTTAATATCTGTCCCAAAAAAGTAATTTAGGAATTTAGCAGCATATCTAATTAAAAGGTAGTGAGATTGAGCTACCTGCATGATTCAAGTATTTGTGACAAAGTTTTACCCAGTATTGATGTAGTCATTAAATTTGGCCTTCATTTGTATTTGTAAAAGAAAAGTTAATATTAAGTGGTATTCAGGGTCTTTTAAAAAGTCACCAGAATTTTTTCCTTAGATTTTGTCACTTGCAACAGAAACAAACAATTTTGTGCTTGTGCTTTTGTGCCCACCCATAGACTTCATGCATATGTATGTGTATGTGTGATATTTCACGTTGCATACCAAGAACCTGAAACCAGCTTGTAGCAGTATATGTTACTGCGTCAGCAGCACTGTATGAACAACAGGGGGGAGTAAAAAGGGTATTTTCCAGGCAGCTTAGTTCCTGATCCTGCAAATATGCAACATTGGAGCAGTGCTGTAGCCAGCCAAGTGCAGCCCCCTTCACTGCAGCTTTGCAAATGGCAGAAGATTTGCCTGTGTGAATCACAAATCACAAGGTATTTTGGAGAAGGGACCACACAAGACGAGACCTATTGGGTACCTAAAATGGGGATTTCTTGAAGTTTTCATCCTGAACTGACAGAAAGGCAACAAGATTGAACTGGGGTGTTCAATTTAACAAGACTATTAGGATTTTATATTTATTATTGCTCCAGAGAGTGATCCTAAGTAAATGTAATTTCAAGGTGTCTAACTTCTCAAGAAGACTCTGAGCCAAATTGTTTGTGCATTTTTTCTATTTTACTGTAAATGTAAACAGGAGTAAATGAATTTTATTCCACTCTTTATATTGCTGGCCTTAGGAAAAATGTTCAAATTATCTAAACCCTGGAAATATAAAGAGGTTTTTTTCTTCATGCGTGTGGGTTAGTTTAGGTAATCTATAGTATTGTCAGGGAAATGGTGGGTTTTTTCTGATTCATAAGCTGACTTTAACATTTCCCATTTTTTATATATTTTTTTACTTCCTTTTCATTCCCAGTAAGTTTCATATTAGGGCTTCATTCTCCTCTCTCACACATTAAAGTATATTCAGAGCACCTCCCCCGTTGTTAGTAGGAAGTTAACTGGTTTGAACAAAAAGTGTGGGGGAAAATCGTCCTTTGGTTATGGACTTCATGAAGCACAGGAAGTGAAACTACTATTTCAGTGTGGATTTGAAGATCATTCTAAAATCTGGTTTAGGCCTGCTTCAATTTATGAAATACTTTCAAATAAGGCTGAAAATTAAAAAAAAAAAACAAAAAACCAAACCAAACCAACCAAGCTTTAAGTGTTCACATTATCTTAGAAGTACGGATATAATTCAATCCCTGATTTTAATGAGTGACAGTTTTATTCAACAGGTATCCCTCACCCTGGATATGGTTCAGCCAATGGCTTTTCCCATGTTTCTCCTCTGAGGTTAGCAAAACAAAGAACAAATCCAAAACAACCAAAGAATCCCCCACATTCACAGAAGGGAGCTTTGGGAAGTGTTTGGGAAAGGTGTTGGCAGTAGCCTTTACATTTCCACCTGTCTGTGCATTTCAGCTGACCAGAGAGTTTTTCACCAAGGAGCTGAAGAAGCATTACCAGAGGAACAACGACACAGATGTCTTCTCTTCCACCTGGAACTCTGTTATGATCACAGTAAGTCAGACTGTGCTAGTTTCATGCTGCCCGTGGTCAGTGGCCACCAACGCGGTGCTCAGCCCGCACCCTCAGCTCCCCCACGGTCAGCCTGCTTCCACCTTCCTGCTGCATCAAGCCCAGCACCAGGGCTTGTGGCAGTGGTTGGAGGGAGGTGAGAATTTGGCTTGCAGCAAGCCTTTCTCAAATGGAGCTGCCACCAGTCCCTAGAGAGAGAGACACTCCCACTGATTGCATCAGTCCTTGTGTTTTGCCAAAGGCCAAGCCATTTGATCTGACTGGGTACCCCCAGCTTTCAAACAGTGGGCACAGAAAGCAGTGTCTGTGACTGAATATCACTGCATTTGTCCTGGGCTTTTCACCTTGCAGACTACTTCAGAACTATTCCAGCCAACAGCAGCCAAAACCTTGTACTAACTAATGCTCTTTTGGTAGCTCTTGTGAAATGAGGGTAGGTGGCAGCTTAGGCAGGAGTGTGCCTAATGACATATTTTCACTATAAAAATATTAGCCATTAGAATTGACTTTGTTATTACGCTCCTAATTGGGCAGCTTACAGGTTGACTGTCAGTGGAATTGCAGTTGTTATTACCTACCACAAGAAGTTCTCTCTGTGTGTGCGTGTGTGTACACATGTGAGCTTAGTGCTTGGTACACCCCATGGTGTTATCTCTTCAGGAGTGAAAAGTGGGATGTCGGGCTCCGTGGATGAAAAGTCAATTTTAATCTTAAAAGGAAAAGATGATTGCTGCCCTTCATGCTGATTCAGGACTATAATAAAGACATTTCCTTTTGCTGACTGAAAGGAGACAGAGTCAGAGTATGACTTGAATCCTTAAAAAGGACCTGACTGGAATCCTAAAGTGAGACCTTACTTGAATCACCTAGCAGTGCCTTTGAGCAGCAACAATCCTGGCCATTAGCTATGGAGAGAACGGGTAGTTGGGAGCCTGGATTGTACTGCTGGCTCCTGTACAGACTTGCTGGGTGATCTCAAGCAAGTCATTCTGGATATGCTCCAAAGCCCTGTGTAGTTTGTGGCAGTGCTCTCAGAAGTACCTTAGAATCTACAGTATGACATGGAAACAGTGGGACTTTATAAAAAGGCTTTGATGAAGCAGAAGCTCCAAGGTAGAATCACAGCCCACTTCTTTGGAAATAACAGTTGTTTTGTCTCTACTTTGACTAAAGCTTTGACCCCTACAAGAATAGGTCTTTGGTAGATTTCTTGTATCTGCTTGCAGGGCTAAGCATCAGTTCTGTCTTCCTTTCTTCTCTGTGCCTCTCCCTAGTTTGCCTGCTGTGGAGTGAACGGACCAGAAGATTTTGAAGCTATCCCTCATCTTCCACACTCCTCTTTGGAAAAGATGATACCAGAGGCTTGTTGTCAGCGAGAGCTCCAGAGCCGGGAAGGGATGTTTGTCAACAAGGAAGCTTGCCTCGCAGGCATCGAGAGGTTTCAGAACCGACAGGTAAGGGAAGCCGAACACTAGGGAAAGGACTTTCACAGTGGGCAGAGAGACAGCTGCAGTGGTCATGGGTAGCTAATGAATTTGACACATCCTGGCTGTACTTCACATCCTAATTACACTTCTGTTGACAGATCTTGAAGTGATGGCGTATGTCTGATTTTGAAAATCCCCTTTCATTACATACACTGCTAAGTTCATGTTGTGCTTAATATGAAGATTTTCATAAGAGATTGAGAGGTGAGGTGGAAATTTAGATCAAGTTTTATTGTGTTTCTGAAGGTCAGAACTACCTCTAAGAAGTTAATTAGCAAGCCAGCACGGGTCAGTGAGGACCTGGCTCTTACTGGCTGTAGTAGTGACTCCAATTTAGTTCACAAAGACTCCTAATCAACGTATGCAATCAAGAGTTAAACAGCCACAGAAAAACATGGCTGTTTTCCAAGGAAGACAAGTGTTGGAAAACTTAATTTCTTTGCTTCTTTACTCTTCACAGTAGAAAAAAAGGCATTTCTTACAGCAGTCTTCCTGTATCTACAGGGAGCCTACAAGAAAACTAGAGAGACTTTTTGCATGGGCATGTAGTGATAGGACAAGGGTCAAGGGCCTCAAGCTGGAAGAGAGTTTTAGATTAGATATTAAAGAAGAAATTATTAACTGTGAGAGTGATGAGACCCTGAAGAAAGATTGTCCAGAGAAGTTGTGGATACCCCATCCCTGGAAGTGTTCAAGGCCAGGTTGGATAGGGCTTTGAGCATCCTGGTCCAGTGGAAGGTGTCCCTGACTGTATCAAATGGGTGGGATTTTTAGGGTGACCTTTAAGGTCCTTTCCAACCCAAACCAATCTATGGTTCTATTCAATGATTCTTTTGCCAGGCCTCTCGACTTAGGAATTTTTCACAGTACTAGACTGGAACAAGACAGTTCATCCCCTTGACAGTGAGTCTACAGTCATGTTTCCTTACAGTGTCACCAAGGCACGATGCTTAAGAAACTTTCTAGCAAAGTTCCTGACTGTGTTCACCTCAGCAATAATAAGCCAGCTGAGCTCTGTACTGACCCTACGTACGTGCCTCCTTCTCTCTCCAGACTCGATAGCAGATTGTGAAAGAGAGTAAAGGAGTTTGGAAGCACTGTATGAACTCTTCCTTGACTGGCAGCTGGAAATGGTTGGCAAAGGCACTCTGGGTGAGAGATCATAGCAGACAGCACTGTGCTACTTCTGCCAGGTCTGACTGCTGTAAATAGATGGGGAAGAGAGAGATGACATATAGTGGAGCAGGAAAGAGAAATATATTTTGAGAAAGAGGGTTAGACTTTTCCCTGAGTGGTGATGCTGAGGCTAACCACTCCCATGGAAAGGAAAGGTTTCCTATGAGGTGAGCCCATGCCACCACAGAATGTTGGTGGGAGATGCCGTGTGCACAGCAAGTGCCATCAAGCACACAGTAGTGCACTTGTGTAAAATAGGAGAGGCAATCCCAAGCAAATGATGGCTGAATTGAGGGATTCCTGGGGCAAAGTCAAGATCTTAGGACACCATGCTGGTACAACAGTGCTCTCTGCCCTTGTGCTCACCCCTGTTTATAGTCAACTGAGCAGGGCCTGCTGGAGGTTGGGTTAAAGTTGGAGTTCTGGCAAGCACACAAACATTTTGTTGCTGGGCTGGATGCTTTTCTTTGAAAATTTGGCTGAAACACGGCTGGAATAGAGCTGGTGCTGAGTGGTCTCATGGTGACAAGAGCATAGCTTTAACAGCTCAGTTACTGCCCTGGCAGTCTGGGACCTGTGGACCAGCCTGATGAGTGGATTCTCTCCATGCTCTCCTTTGTTCTCTGCTGATTGAGCCTCAGTCACAGTGAGCAGGATCCGGCATGAATACCAGTACGTAACTTTGTGCTGTCTTTGCAGTTCAGACACTTTCATTACAGATGGAAGGAAAAGATCAGGTGATTGAAACTTCCCAGCAATATAGATGGGATTAAAATGTATGTGTGAAATATATTCCCAGTGGAGCGGAAGCTACTTTTCACATTGGACAAACTCCAGTCTACTTTTTGCTTTTTGTGTGACTTGTTTGCAGAAATTTCCCAGGGGGTTGGAATTTTAGGATGGGAGAACTGAGGCCAGGATAAGCTGATGATTTCCAGAAACATCCTGAAACCTCTGCAGGAAGATCTACCAGCTGTTAATTGTGTGAACAATAATAAATTACATTAAAGATGATGATGGCTATGTTTCATAAGTGGAAGAATTGCCACAGTGCATGGCCCTGAGTTGTTCATGATATTCTTCTATAGCCAGAAGATCAGTAGGTGTTCAGCTATGGTCTTTTGGGGGAAGGCACAGAGGAAAGGTCCTGGGTTGCTAAAGAGCTGCTGGCTGTGAGAGATGATTCAAGAATCTCCTGCCTTGGCTTTAAATAAGTCGTCCTTTTCTCTAGCCAGCCTGGGATGTCTGTCACCTGCCCTGAGTGTCCCTCCCTCTGTGGTTAGTCTCTGTCCTTTGCGGATGGAGTTCCTCTTTGTGCTGCCCTGCAAGAACTCACAGTTCCTCTTGGTCAATGAGGTATTGTGGGTGTAAACCACCCCCACCACACTACAGCAAAACCTGCCCCGCCCCAGCACTGTCTTGTGAGTCTCTGCCTCCTGTGCTGTGGGGCTGGGTGAGGTGGTGAGAGGGAGCCATGCTTGTGGTGCCCAGGTCTGAGAGCATCTCATGTTTCAATGAGGGCTATGTTGTGAGAACAACGCAGTGCACTGCTCAGGTGTGTCTCACCACATTTTATCTTTCCTAGGGCTGCTACACTGTGATCCTGAATTCCTTCGAGACCTACGTGTACCTTGCAGGAGCCCTTGCCATCGGAGTGTTGGCTATTGAGGTACTTTCTGTTGTCTGACTATAAGGAAAGCAGTGCCAGTAGATGTCCAGCAGTGAGGCAGACAGGCAGGTGCTCCCCCTTGCCAGGAGAAGGTGCTCTGGCAAAGTGTGAGAAGGTCATCAACTTGTGGTTTTAATTGCCTGGGAAGAGACGGGTGCTTGATACTTTGACACCAAAAGGCAAGGAAATAACGGGTGCCACAGGCCTGCAGTGCCACCTTGTGCTAGGCCAGCCACAGAGCTTTTGCCCTGCCATGCTGGCCACAGGGGCTTTGGCAACGCAACTCTTGCTCCAGGCCCTACACTCTCACTGCCCTCATTGCAGCAGCACCCCAAAGCTGACTGATCTGTCACTTGGTTAACATGTTGAAACTCTGTCTTTGCTTTAAAAGCTTCTGTTTAGAGCTTGAAACTGTATTGGCTACAGAGCACCTCCACTGCCCTGCATTACTACCTGGTGCTTCGGTGACATTTCTGAGCAACAGGCTTCCACCAGACATGGTATTAGCCCAGAAGTGGTGTCCCTGTGGCATTGCAGGGGCAAGGCTGGGTGCTTTTGCAGTCCCGTGTCTTATGCAAAGGAGAGGGACCTGGGCAGGGAGCCCCAGCATGGCAGTCTCTGCTGTGCCCATCCCAGGCAGTGGCAATGATGTACAGAGCAGGGATTGTGGAGCCTGCTCTGCTGTGACCCCAAGGGCAGCTTTGGAAGGAAACAGGGCTGCTGCTGTAGCCACTAAGAGTTTGGACGGGGTGGGGGGTAGTGGGGCAGCGTGGCGTGGGGAGTTGTGGGGAACAGGGGAAAGAAAGGAGGGATGCCTTTAGGAGAAAAAGTTCTGCCACAGCCTCCCCTGGGTGGTGAGAAGGGTGCCCATCACTGCATCGCTGTGGTCAGGAGGGAGCAATGGGGGTGGTACCAGGGCCAGGGGGGCCTTTGCTGATCTTATGGAAGATGCAGCTGATTCTTATGGTTCTCTGTTTTGTTTTTGCCCTCTTCTTCCCCCACATCTTCCCAGCTGTTCGCCATGATCTTTGCTATGTGTCTCTTTCGAGGGATCCAGTAAGAAGTGGCCCATGGACCACCAGGTTCCCCACATGCTCAGAAGAAAGAAGGAAAATCAGAAGAAACAAAATCTGAAAACACCTAAAAAACTTTATTTTTTTTAAAATGGGATAGGGAGGGGGAAAAAAAAAAAAAAGAAAAAAAGAAAAAAAGAGGGTTGTAATATATGAATGACCAAAAGGATTGTACTTCAGGGGCTGGAACTTTGAGGTGATGTGCACTACACTGTACACCGGACCCTTGCCCAGAGCCACCCGCAGCAGCTGTGGAGCAGGAGCCCAGCGCAGCCGATTGCACTAGAGACTGATGGAGCCAGTGGAGGGGGTGTGGGAGGATGAGCACAGCTGCCTCTTCCACAAGGCTGAGCCTACCATGCATGACTTCATCGTGCTTTATAGACAGCAAAGGATTGAAGAACAGACACACAAGGGACTGGATAAGGCAACAGGTTGGCCTTGATTGTCCAGGTGGGTTTGAAACAAGCAGTGGTGGCTCATCTAAGTAGGTAGCCATTTTTTGAGTGATTCTGGCTTTAATTTCCAGCCACAGAATGAAAACACAGATTCTTCAGGGGAAGCTTTGCCCTTGTCATGTGAAACTTGTCTGAGAAGTCAAGCACTTCAGTGAGGCTTTTCTCCAGAGTCCCAAGCAGGGGCAGCACGATCTAACCTGGCAATGGGACTCAGCTAAGGCTGACTGAGGGTCAAGAGTTTGGTGCCTACCTTTCTGTTTTTATTAAGATTTATTGTTCATTGTTGTGAAAGAGACCAAATGGTTCCCTGCTGTGTTCCCATGCCCTGGGAAAAATAATGGTCCGATCAAGAATCATTGACCTGTTGCCTTCCTGAGAAGGGGAGGATAGAATCTTTAAATCTTGTCAGCCTTTGCCTTTCCCTTGATACTTGCAAAAAAATGGTTTGTGGTGCTCTATTAGCATAAATATTTGCAGTGGTTCCTACATCCTTTTCAGCCCTAAGGGGAGGTCCAGTCATGGTGCTGGATGGAAGAGACTTAGGTTTGTCAACCACTCCCATGCCATTTGCCTGGAACAGTCTGTTGGCATCATTTCTGCTCAGAGAATTTCCCCTGAGATTCTCTCATGGACTCATGATGAAAGCAATCATCAAGTCAGAATTGTTTTAGTTGAAGAGTGTTTCCTCCCTTGAGATGGTTTGTTATTTAACTAACATGTCATCTACTCAATCATTTGGAAGTGAACTTGAGACAGATGCCTGGGACTGGACCTTAGTCAGAGATTAAGCTGGAGCTTCTGAGGCCCCAGGTAGGCCCTAAGAGCCAAACTGCTCCAGCTGCTGCTCCAGTGATCGTGGATATCGACTCAGGCACGTTGCTGGTCTCTCTTCTCTGGAATCAACAGCCCCTGTTGCCTTAATTGTTCATCTGGTCACTCTCTGACCCCAAATTCATTTTACTTGGGGGAAGATAGAAAGGGCTGTGGTTTCTCATTTATCTTAGGTCTTTTTACAGATTTTATAGGCTCAGATTATGTGATGACTTTTATATAGGCTCAAATCAGCTCTTCTGAAAGCTATAACCTCTGGCAAGGAAGGAGCCGAGCAGTAACCTCATGCCCTGGCTTTGCAGCAGCAGGAGGTACATCCTCTGGCTGTTTCCTTACACCCCTGAGGCTGTGTCCCTTGAGCTCTCCCAGTGGCACTGCACAGACTACAGTCAAGGAAGAAAAGCAGCAGAAAGCCTGGGCCATAATTGACAAAGATCCTGGCTAAATATCCAGGTTGGTGAATCATGATACTAAGGAACAGGAAGGAGGCATTAGAAGCTTTTCCAAGCTTCATTTGAGAACAATCATTTATTCATCAGCAGGATAGGGCTGGGCAGGTAGAGCTGCAGCCCCCCACTGCTGCAGTCAGCATATTCCCGCAATGAAACACGCAGCCAGGGCTGCTGAGCAGCCCCAGATGTTGCATTAAACCTTGTGAAAAGCTGTTCTGAACTATTTCCCTCTGGACCTTTTTGTAATGAGGCATTTTAGCATTAAATTTTGGTCTGTTGTTTAATAAAGGAAAACAGTTTGGTTAGCCAAAACCCAGCAGGATTTGTACTGGACAGCAGGTGCTGCACTTAAGATAAGAGATATCTGCTGCATCTACTAGTCTCATAGGAAATGGGCCGAGCAGAAGGCAAGCTTATCTGTTCTCCTTCTGCCTCAGGAGTTGGTATCAGTTACTGTTCTGGGAGAGCAAATCCCAGGGAAAGAACAAAACTGTCAGAAAAGACAGTAATTTGGCTGGAGGTTATTGAGAGAAGTAGAACTGCCTCCCCCAGTCTCCAGTTTTTTTCTTGGTTTATTATGCGGAGTCCTCAGGTCAGAGCCTGGAAGGCAAATACCCTCATTTGTGCACGGTGGGTGGTTGAAAGGAAAAAAAAAAAAAAAAAAGCCTTTAAGCCTTTTTCTGCCACCAGTGGCATGGGAGGGAGGAAAAACTGTCAGAGATGGGGAATCAGACCAAAGCAGCCAGAGCACTAAGTACTGAATATACACACCTGGAGTAGGATCTCTACTGGCTTGTTCTCTTTGGCTTTCGTAGTTCTGTACTCAGTGCTTTGTCTGTTTTTAGTTTTCTCACTTTCCCTCTCTCCCAAATCGTAGTCCCTGTAGCTTCAAAAGGATCTCCTCTTCATCTGTTAATCTGGGCTGTGCACAGCTGTTTCTCCCCTCTTACCTTGTCTGATCCCTCAATGCTCTTTGCTGGGTGAAGACTTCAAATCCTCTCTGTAGGCTCGCTCACATGCCACTTGAAACACAGCTCAACAACCCAGCAAAGGCCAGGCAGCGCATTCTAAACAAGAACTGGAGATGGTTGTACCAATATGTGCAAGTCTGACAGGACCTGTGGTAGTTGGTAACATGCATAAAGAATTTCCCTCAGGGGAATTTAATGAACTAGCAACCCTAGAACGCAGACTCCCACTGTATGGCAAAGCATGTAAATTCGTTGGTTTTGTCCCTTGGTTATGTGGCTGCCCCCTCTGTTGTACAGTAGTTTTCAGAACTGTAGGCAGGAAAAGCAATTGTATTTTTGTATTTGTTTTTAACAGCTCTGGTGAATAGTTTGGGGTCAGGGGCTAAAGGTAAAGTCACTGCTCGCTGGAGAGCTCTGGGCAGGCTGAAGACCAGATAGAGCTGCTGTGCTGCTGCCTCCATTGCTGTAGCACTGTGACCCTGGCCCGAGCACCTTCGATGGAGCAGTAGGGAGGAGCCTGTGCTTGTGAGCCCACAGCCCCTCTCAGCATCCCTGCCTCCCGGCTGTTATTTAATGCTCAAATGACTGTCACGAATGCCTGGGAAAAGGGCTGGCGTGTGAAATAATGTTTGAAATCTATTTTAAAAAACTGTAAATGTACTTTTTATTAGATAGTGGAGCTAATTTATCCTGTATTCCCTACTGTAATGCTTTTTTATATTGAAAGGAATTTTTTTTTGGTAATATAAACCAGAACACAAGCCTGAAGCACTTGGTGCACAGTTTTTTGTGTGCATTTCTTAAAAAAAAACCCAAAAACCAAAAAACACCAAAAAACCAAACCAAAATAAAAGATATTGTGACAGTGAAGTGAAACAGCTTTAATTTTCACTATTTGCTTGGTGTTCAGTACAGTCACTTTCTTACCATAGGAGAAATAAACTCAAGTACAGCAGCTAAAATGAGGTATAAATTGAAGTGTCCCATTCTCCCCTGCACCACCCCTCCGTCCCCACCCCCCACCCCATGTAAAAACCCTTGATCAGAAAGGAGAGGCCAGCTTAGGACAGGCAAAGCCTCCCCTTTGTCACCAGCTCCAGTTTGCCAGATACCAGTTAGGCATAAATAAGGTGATGTAGGGAGTTATGTGAATGATGAGCTTTCTTCACCCTCCAAAGTGAGGGTTCTGCGAATGTAAGGGTTTGGGTTCATCCCTGGCAGAGAAAGGGGGTCAGCCTTAAGTCCTGGCCTGTGCCTGCTTGGAGCACAACCCTCTGGGCAACAGACTCCCAGCCCTGCACAGCACTGTACAAATGCAGGTACTTCACTGCAGTCTCCCTTGGGAATGACACCAGTCCAAAGCCTCTCTCACAGTATAACACATAAGGAAACGGAGGCTTGTGGAGCCAGTTTTTTTTCTCAGATCAGTAGCAGAGCCTGAGGTGATGCCTCAGGCTTTTGATCCCAAATTATGTGCTCAACTGCCACATTCATCTGTAATGCCAGCACTTCTGTCATTAGGGACACAGTTCTGTACAAATTTTTTCAGCATCCTCCTTCCTTTTCCCTCATTCACAACTGAGTGAAGACAACCAGGTACAGTGGGTTTCTGGCAGTGCTGCAGATGTTCTGCCTGGGCTTCATCCTCAAGCCACCCTGAGAAACACCCTCCTAGACCTCCCAATGCTACCCATTCACCACCTCCAATGGGCCTGGTCACGTTTGTCCTGCCACACCTTGCTGATGAGAAGGGACATGCCAGGGACCACAACTTAGTTGTAGGAAAGGTGTAGAGCCCCAGTCCATTTCCAGAATTTCTACATGGTCTATTTATAGCATGATGGAGCAAGAAGCATCAAAATAAAACAACTTCTTCCATCTCTCCACTTTAAAAACTAGGTACCAAGTAGTACGAAATCTTTTAAGTGGCAACTCCCCCAGTCTTTGCTCTAGCAAGCAGAAATAGCCATTAACTGGCAAACCTAGAGGTGGCTATTTCAAGTCTTGCAGAGGCAGCTATTAAGCAGGGGACCAGAGGAATCTGATCTCAACTAATTTAAAGCTACTCTGGAAAGCTGTAACTGCTTCTCCCACCCTCCCACACCTTATTTAACCATCAAGGAGTCTTTGGAGAACTACTCTCACATAATGCCCTAACTCACTTGTCTCCCTTATGGGATGGTATTTTGAGGTACACTAATCAAACCAGAGTCATAACTAAGTTCATAGGACCTGTGGCCAACATAGATGGGAGGCAGCATTAAAAAGTTCCTCCATTTCCTTCTTCTGCGAGATTGCTTTTGCTGTGGTTTTGCCTGTCTGTCCCAGAAACATAACTTCTCCCCTCCCCCCCAACCAACCATCAATCTGTGTTTACATTCATGTGATGCCCCAAAACACAAAGAATCAAGCTTCACGTACCTACACCAACAACTACAACCGAAGTGCCACACTGAGGCCATTGCACCTGCCCATGCAGGTGATGTACAGGGTGAGAGCAACAGCCACAGCTTGCCATGCTCCAGCTCCCACACACAGCACCACTTGGTCTAATTTCTGATACTTTCCAGCCTGCATTTGATCATTACCTGCCTCACAAGGAAAAGGTTTCCCTCTGAGAGCCCAATTCTTCGACCTGAACAGGAACACTCCTCTTAATTAAAAGTTTTAGTTGCTCAGTGTAATTTTTGGACATGCTGAAAGCAGCTTGACAAGCTTATGTTCTTGGGAGGCTCTAGAATTCAGCCTGTTGTTGGATGTTGCCTCTCCACTTGATCTCCTTCTTAGGCAAGAAACTAAGTAATAGTTGTGATGTTTCCAATATTCTTACCTGACAGACATTTTGCATGGCCAGTAAGTACAATGCACACAGTGTCCCAAGCTTATGCAGTTGCTTCTAAATGCCAAAAGCACTAACACAACATACAATAACTACCCACTACCTTCTTCTAACTCTACTAAGATATTAAATAGCAATAGCCATAGATCCCAGTCTCACCAGTGGCTTGAGGGTTGGTTGTTCACACAAGCAGTTCTGTTTGCATGGGCATCTTTCTACTGGGATTTTGGAACATCAGCTCTATTACAGGGCATGCTCTGATCCAGTCAACAGTAGTGCATGGGTAAGAAGTCCATATCCTGGACTT